TGTGTCTGCCCCCTCTCTATCCTTCTCTTTTTTGTTCTTCTTTGCTGCGGCTTGAAGTGCTGCTGCGGCGCATGCGGCACCAAGCCCCAGCTGTCCCTGTCTTTCCCTTAACACCCAGCAGCAGCAGCAGCAGCAGCAGCAGCAGCAGCAGCAGCAGCAGCAGCAGCAGCAGGGGGAGATTCTCTTTACCTCTTCTTACAGGTACAGAACAAACCCAAGACAACCAAACACGCCGCAGCAGCCGCCCCCGCAGGCCGCATGCAAACTTGGTGCTTGAGCTGCTGCATCGTGCTGCTGCTCCCCTGCAGCAGCAGCAGCAGCAGCAGCAGCAGCAGCAGCAGGTGAGTCTTGCTGTGAGAGAGGGCTTCGCTCTAGACAACCTAGCAGACCTGCTGGAGCTGCTGAGCTATGCACTGGACCACCGCAGCAAGCTGCTGCAGCACCAGGCAGCAGCAGCAGCAGCAGCAGCAGCAGCAAAGCAGCAGCGAAACTTACACCATCAGCAGCAGCAGATATTACAGCAGCAACAGCAGCTGCAGCAGCAGCAGCAGCAGCAGCACCTCGCAGCAGACTGGCAAACGCAGCAGCAGCTGCTGCGGCTGCGCGGGACCCCCAACAGCAGCAGCCCAGAAGCAGAAGCAACAACACCAGAAGCAGCAGCAGCAGCAGCAACAGCAGCAGCAGCAGCAGCAGCAGCAGCAACCAGCTGCTTTTTCTCTTCTCTAGACAATGCTGAGCTCATCACCGACACCCCCATGTGGGGCAGCGACAGCTGGCCGTGGGCGCCGCTAAGAAACTCACGCGAGTGGCAGCAGCAGCAGCAGCAGCAGCAGCAGCAGCAGCAGCAGCAACAGCAGCAGCAGCAGCAGCAGCAGCAGCAGCAGCAGAAGGAAAAAACAGATGCAGGGCCTCTTCTAGCTAAGCATAAACTCTCACTTTTTGATATTTGTGTTGAGTCGAAACTCTTTGCTAAAGATGGATTGCTAGGTAAAACCCTAAACCCTAAACCCTAAACCCTAAACCCTAAACCCTAATCTCAAACCCTAAACCCTAAACCCTGACACGGAACCCTTGCTTCAGCTCGAAGCGGCGCAAGGGTTTTGTGTTAGGGTTTAGACAGATGAGTAAACCCTCGTCTCTTTCGTGTGTGGAGATATGCTCGCCCGTACAACTTGAGGGTTTAGGGTTTGGGGTTTAGGGTTTAGGGTTTAGGGTTTAGGGTTTGTGTGCTGCTGCAGCTTGTTCCTTCTTCGCTCGGCTGCGGCGTTTAGTTGAGGGAGAAAGTCTCCCAGTAGGAGGCGGCAAGACAAACCGCGGCCTCATGCTTGCAAAAGAGGCAAGGGTTTAGGGTTTAGGGTTTAGGGTTTAGGGTTTAGGGTTAGGGGTTTAGGGTTTAGGGTTTAGGGTTTGCGGTTTACCTGCATCCTAAAGGCTCGCATTTGGCGTCGCTTCTAGCCGCACATCTACCCTTCAGACTCTAGGGTTTAGGGTTTAGGGTTTAGGGTTTAGGGTTTAGGGTTTAGGGTTTTGTTTCAGGTGCTGCGAAGCAACCGCCTCACGCCGCTGGTGTTTGTGGCCCCCGAGCTAGGCAAATGGTCTACTGTTGGGGGTTTAGGGGTTATGGTTGACGAGCTCTCAACAACCCTAGCAACCGTAAACCCTAAACCCTAAACCCTAAACCCTAGATTCTAAACCCTAAACCCTTCGTCGTAGTCTGTACACCACTGTGTTCTTTTTGGGTCTACTTCTGGGGGTTTGGGGGTTATGGTTGATGAGCTCTCAACAACCCTAGCAATCGTAAACCCTAAACCCTAAACCCTAAACCCTAAACCCTAGATTCTAAACCCTAAACCCTACGTCGTAGTC